TTGACAGCTCAACTCTGGAGATAGAAAAGTTTGAAACTCAAATCTGAAAATCTCGGATTCTCAATTTGCAAAGTATTTGAGCCATCAGTTCGCAACATAATAGAATCAGATTAGAACTTTTGTAACTTATGTATTAAGCGTATTTTGGATTTTTTTTAACTTCCAGCATTGAACCCTGAAAATCTGAACCAAAACTTTCAAAACGATCCATTGTATATTCCATTAAAAATTTGAAATCTTAAATACTTTACAAATGGATTTATTAAAAATAGAATTATTTTCAGATAATTTACTTCAAATCCGCCCTTCATATCTTAAACCATTAAACAGATATTTTATTTTAAATTAGAATTTGTATTTTAAACAAGAAATGTATGTTTTTACAATGGATGAGACTTTAGAGACTTCATTGTTTCTTTACAAAATCAATTATATAACATTATTTAATTTAATTTGGTAGAAAGCGATGAGTTCAATCTTCAGATCATTTAAATCTAAAAAGATTCAGATTGTAATTAAAGTCTCGTCTTTTGTGGGTAACCCTGTATCTAGTCTAATTTATAACCCTGTATCTAGTCTAATTTGTAACCCTGTATCTAGTATAATTTGTAACCCTATATCTAGTCTAATTTGTAACCCTGTATCTAGTCTAATTTGTAACCTTGTATCTGTCTAATTTGTAACCCTGTATCTAGTCTAATTTGTAACCTTGTATCTAGTCTAATTTGTAACCTTTTATCTGTCTAATTTGTAACCCTGTATTTAGTCTAATTTGTAACCCTGTATCTAGTCTAATTTGTAACCTTGTATCTAGTCTAATTTGTAACCCTGTTTTTAGGACTCCTTTTCCTTTTGACAACTTTATCTTTGAACTTTGAAAATCATCATTTTTAATAGTTTTCAAATTTTCCTCAATTTTTCTTTAAACATTTCGACATTTTTTCAGGGAAATTTTTCTCTGGGGCATATGAGTTGCCTCAAAAATGTTGGGCTCGACGGTTCAGTCGTTTTTACAATTATTGGAGACAAACAAGTACCCTAGTTGATTTTTTTATTTCTATAAGATTTTTTTTTGAAAAAAGAAAAAAGTGTCTTTCCACACACGATTTTTCCCTAGAATGTTTAAAGGCGTTTCTTCTTTCCTCATATGCTATTTTTTTTAATTTCTTTACTTTTTTGTGAACACTTTGTGACATTTTAAACAACATGTTTTAAAACAATCTCTAAAAAATCCTTTATCTTTGATCCAATACTGTTCTGTCTTTTAGCGAACACTCCATTAAATTTTTGTATTGTGAAGTATATTTTTGTTCTCCATTATTCTTTATTACATTAGTTTCTTTAGTTTCTTTATTTCCCAGATTGTTGGAACTTAAGAGAAATGGGAATTGATGCATAGAAAGAATTAGTTTAACTAGTGTTCACCAGTTTATTACACCTTGAACCAGTGTTTGAACAAGAAGTGAATATAGTTTAACTAGTGTTCACCAGTTTATTACACCTTGAACCAGTGTTTGAACAAGAGGTACATATAGTTTAACTAGTGTTCACCAGTTTATTAGATCATGAACCAGTGTTTGAACAAGAGGTACATATAGTTTAACTACCTTCTTAATAAATTCCCAAATCAGAAAACCCGCAAAATGTCTTTTAGAATATTAAGGTTCAAATAGGTTGCCAATCTATTTGATTGAAGCTTATGTTTCTGGAACGTTACAAATAAGATCGTTGTGCTTAATTAATCACTTATTAATTAATTATGGGGATGTGTTACTTTAGTGAATGCTACATTTATGTAAAGAAAGTAAAAAAGATCTTAGCACTTGTCCTATATTTATCAACCTTTCTGTGTAATTGTTTGTTAACGCACTCTGCCAATTTTTTACACGGGACTTTTTTTTTACATGATGGTAAATGTTGAAGTAATTTATTATGCTTGATATTCGTGGAATCGAATGGTTCCAATGGTGGAATGTTCAATACTTTTTTTGGTGGATTTTCTGAATTCCTTTGAATATCTCTCTTCTCTTTCCCACTAATATTTGTTTTATTCCTTTCAGGGTAATTCAACAAAGGCACAATACAGATAAAGGAATTGAGTCTTCGCCATAAAACCAAACTTTCTATCCCTATATCTTTGCAACCTGATGGTGTAGATCTTTGATATTTCAAACTTAGATTATTTGGTCTAAAAGAATTCAAAGTTAGAAATATCAGAGTTTGTGGCAAAGACTTAATTCCTTTATTATGTGCTTTTGGAGCTCATGGTATGCCATATAAAATTAAAAATTTTGACCAAAGAATGCCAAGAATATTTTTGAAATATGCTTTTGATTGGATTCAACTAATGCCAAAACAGCTTTATTGATCAAGGACCTCGGTTATTTGAAATTCGGTGATGGTAATGGACCAAAACTTCTGTAGAGTAAAAAAGTAGATGCTAGTTCCACATTTATTGAAAATATATTTTTGGTCTGGGTTGACCCTCGTCAGTTCTAACGATATAATAACCATTAAAATCGATAAAAAATTTTAAAACCACAAGAAAATAAACAAACAAATAATTTCCCATGAATTTGCGTACTTTTGAAAATGTTCTTTTTAAAAGTTAATCCCTTGTCCTAAATGCATTTTTAATACAAGGTTATCTACAAAGGATCAGGACTGCAAAGACGAACCGAAAATCTTAAATATGACGATCTCAAGGTTTAATTAAGTCGCCTTCATTAAATATAATCTTTTTATGGCTAACTAAATGATTTTGAAGAGATAGAATCAAGGAATCATTAATATTATGAAACAGACAGTATAAACTCCGTACAATCGTCGCTGAATTTTAATTCTTTGCGGGATATGTTGAAGTTTTATTTTATCTTACATCATGATTTTTGTTTTCAACTTTTAATTTTTTCTTCTTCTTCAAATTCAGTTTTAAATGGGAAAATGTAGTCTCAATGGGGCCCTTATAGAACCCTAATTCTCTTTTATTCTATTGTAGAAGTATTCTAGCTGAAGAATGTTTTATTGTGTATATTTAAATTACAGCAAAGTAGAACTTTATATCACACTTTAAGATTAGATACATAAACAATTAGAGCTGAAATATGTGTAGTTATTTTCCTTTTAGTTAAATAAATTGAGCTTTTGCACTAATTATCTCAATAAATCTATATTTTCTAAATCTATCAAAATTAAAACTGTTTAAAAAAAATCCAATTATAATACGAATCTTGAGATTGTTCAAAAATTACAATTATGTTTCAGGCTGAAACATAAATTGCGAAAAAATAATATTTTAATTTACAATTGAGATATACAACATTTTCAGCCCTAATTTGAAGTCACATAAAGACCCTGTTACACATGGGTATTTTCCAGAAATCAGCTGATTGTAATGACGTCACTCTTGTCCAATCAGAGCTAAGGACAAGCTATATCAACTTATCAAGCTGAAAGGAGCGGTTAGGAAATAAAGAAAACATTAAGATTAGACTAACAAGCAACTCTTATAATGCTCTTTAAATCTGTAAGTTTTTGTATGCGTAAAATCAGAAATAGTTTGAACAAAATATTAACATTTAAAGCGGCTTTACTGTATATAAAAAGATAATAATGAGAAGAATAAAACAGCTTGGAATATTTCTGCATCAGGCGTTAAGATCACCTCAGCTGGAAATTTTTTGCATCTTCTTCTTGAAAAGATTAAACACTTTTTATTAAATTCACCTGGATACAAAATACCAGTTTAAAGCTGTCAAGCGTTTCCGTGTTTTCTAAAAACTGGAGAAAGACAGAGTTACAAAGTGTTTGGTTGTATTCCGATGTGTTGACTGGACACTTTTGAATACAGAAAATTTTCCAGATCCTGATTATCGACAAATATTTGGTCCAAATTCATAGATAAATATAAATATGATAAAAATGTTTGATTAGACTGGATAAAGAACGGAAGTAGATCTGCCATCTACGATTATGTTTGATGGATCCTCCTGTGTACATACAAATATATGGAAGCCTATTACAAAATTTGTGATATGGTACATAAAGTACATAAAGTACATACTAACTATATAACTCTAGTCTTTACAAGGTTAAACAAGGTACAACATAAATACTTAACATGTATAAATTTTTTTTAAAAGTTTCTTATTTTAAACATGTACATTGTACATTGTACATTGTACTTCCTAATCTGTACAATCACAATTATCATCTAGATATTATATGTACATATAATAACATCAACAAAGACTAGTTTATTCAGCAAGGGTATAGATAAGGATATGTAATGGGTTGCTTGGAAGAAAATTGGCACAAAATGTTGATTTTTGGCAAGAATTTTGGCAAAATACTTTTGTGGAAAGTAAAAGTGACTTTTTAACTTTCGGATTTGGTGACATAAATTTGGCACTGCTGGAAATTCACAGCTGTCCTTAAAACACAGTGAATTGTGTTTGAAACAAAATATAATAGTGCTATAGGTCCTACCCATGGTGACCTGGTCAACACAAATTATTTGATTTTTAGGGTTACAACATTTGGTACATTTGATATGTTACATTCTTATTTAAGTAGTATTTGCATAGCTACATTTCATACATAGTAGATAAAAGAATTCTTGTTCTTTTTCTATGTACTTACTTACAGAGAGAAACTTTTTGGAACATAAAATAGATACAAATTACCGCTGTTCGTTGACACAATGGATATGATACATCGATATGTTTACAATTAATATTTTTAAGATAGATGAACTAGGACTAGAATTGACTAGAAAAATTATAAAAATCTAGAAGAAACAAAACAAAATTGTGAGGTCTGTATCCTGAATAAAGATTGGTAGATAAAAACAAACAAGATTTGAGTATAACAAGAGAGAAATAAAACTAGTCATTAGCCATATTTATCAGTATTCCTCTTTCTTGCCACTTTATCATGGATGTCTAATGTATAAATATGGATAATGACTAGTTGGTAATGGCTATTGGATATTAGTTTTGATGATATGATTTGGAGTAATATATTGGAAGCCTGCTAGTCCTCCCATGGACGCTGTCTCCATAGAGATTCTGAAAATAAAATTATTCTCTAGCTTTGTGTAGATACAGTTAGTCTCATATAAATAATATACTTGGATTTAGGGTAGAGGACTAAGGGTGGTTTAAGGGACTGATTACAAAGTTTCAAGAGACCCTAAATTTGAAAAGCGGCATATACGTTTCAAAGAATGTATTATTTTTCATCTTTGTCTGATCAATTTTTTTTTTTGGTAGTTCCTCTTTAGAAAATACTTGTGGATATATTCTACCGAGAAAATTAAGGAAATTGTTACATTTTTATTGAGAGGTTTAAAGGGAACATTGTGAATCGGACATGCCACTCTAGAAATGAACTGTAACTTGAAATTACGGTACAGTCCCTTTAGGGAAAGCAATATTGATAATTTTTTCAATTTACAAAAATATGAAGTGCACTTTTACCAGTATGATGGAGGGTTGTATACAGCGTAGGGACTAGGGTAGGCCTGACAAATTAATAACACAGGAATAATAAATATATGATAAAAATTATAAAAAATAAACCTGTGAAAATAATGTATCATGGGAGNTTAAAGATTTTAATTAAAATTGAAAAAAAACATGAAGCCCAAATATGATTAAACCAAATACACATTTTGATTTTATACAAATTAGTTTTTGTACTTATTTAAAATATGATGTATCTTCAATCATATGATGTAATTTAAAGAAAATAATAACTTGTGTCAAACTCTAATTTTAGAAACTTTGCTGCAACCCAAAGTCCCCTTTGATATTTCAAACTTTTAGATCAAAAAGTCCAAGTTTGAAAAATAAAAAATTAACATTACAAAATGTGTGATTTGGAACATATTTGTTAACAAGAGTAGAATAGTTTCTATTTTAACATTTTTCGTTGTTATTATTCCACCTAATATATTCTGGATGAACTTGGATCCGAAAAAACCTTACGGAACCTCTCCGGAAACTGTTATTAATGATAAACTAATAAAAACTTCTGGAAATAATTTTGTATGGAATTGATTTGGAACTTTAGGCTTGTAAACTTATTTTCCGGATGTCACACCTAAATCTATGTAGCATCACTAATCACTATAGTTCCGCCCGCCTTATTCTGTTGCATAAAACGCGCTGGGTCAACCACTTACTGTATGGGTACACTAGACGGGCTTGTACGAGTAAACACTACACCAGGCAATTTCCTTGTACCGGTTCGGATCATGCAACTTTTGAACTTTTATGAGAGATTATTCCTTTTTAAGTCAAAAACGGTTCCGCCCGTAATTCCAAAAGTTTTTATTATGGTTTATAATTCAGGAGAAGTTATGTAAGGCATTTAGGGATCCAAATTGATCTTGAATACATTTTCAAGCTAAATCTACACTGAATCCTCTGTAGTTGGGTTTACCATTACCTCAGGATCTAGTATGGAGCGAATTTTTGTTCCCTGATTGAAGGGAGGGATATTAGGCTGGGAGTAGCTTTAAATTTGTTTGGTAGGACAATCTGATCATTAAAGGAAGGAAATCTCAAAAGGGGGGAGAGCAAGCTTGCATCCACATACTGGCATCAGGGAGGAACTAGTAACCAGTCCGGTTTAAACAAAATTATCATTGTTCTTCACACACGTGGGCAATAGTTGAAGCATGCCCAGTTTAGATATAGAAATAGTTATAGTTCCATCCCTGTTGAGCTGGTTCTGGTTGAGTTACAATCTGATATTGGTTTGGGATGAATGGGGGAAGGATGTCCGGAAAACTAGTGACGAGTCCCTGCTTTTCAGCTTCCTCTGCCATGGCCAAGTTTGCTCGGAAAACTTCCATGCTGTACAAATAGAGAGCTGTCAATACCTTTAGTTTTCATCTTCACTTCAGTTCATTCCGATAATCATGCAAAGTTAATTAGTTAATTAGTTAATTAGTGCCGGAATTAATAAAATTATTTATAAGACATTTAAACAAGGTTCCTCTCAGTCTCAGGTTTAAATTTCCCAATTCGGCAAATTGAGTTTTTTATCTTCATTTGCATTTTCTCTTTAACGTTGGCAGAATGTTGTAGATAGTTGGTAAATTTTCGTTAAAAATAGCTCTCATTGATTCCTAATCCAA